CACTTTGGGAATATCCAACTTCTTGTGCAATTACCTTGAGGCTTTCCTTCCTTATGGAGGGTGTCAATGATGGTTTTCTGCACAACTGTCAGGTCAGCAGTCTTTTCCATGATTGTGATTCCTGCTGAACCAGACTGAGAGACCATTTAAAGGCTCGGGAACCCTTTGCAGGTGTTATGGCTTAATTAGCTTATTAGAGTGGGACACTTTGAGCCTAGAATATTGAACCTTTTCACAATATTCTATTTTTCTGAGATTGTGGATTTGGGGTTTTCATGAGCTGTAAGCCATAATCATCTCAATTATGACAAATCAGGGCTTGAACTATCTTGCTTTGCATGTAATGAGTCTATCTCATATATTAGTTTCACCTTTTAAGTTCCATTACTGAAATAAATGAACTTTTGCATGATATTCTAATATTTCGAGTTTCACCTGTAGTAATTGGTAGGCTACTATAACAGAATCTTGCAAGCCTGACTGCTTTTTCTCCTGTCTTATACTCCAGGGAGTCAGGGAGAGACTGACCTGGGTTTGTTTATACTATGGATGTCTGTTCTCAGAACTTAAAAATGCTATATTACATAATCTTATGTTTTGCTTACATAACAGTTTCTGAATATTTGCTCCAAGGCCACCTCTAGCTCTCTACTACATCTTGATTTCAGTGGGTTGGCTCTTTCATTTACCTGCAGGTGTGTTTATTTAGGAAAGACAGAGGATTTACTTTTGAGTTGTTGAAAGGTGTCAAAATGCCTTTCTTTCGAGGATTCGATTTTCCCGCTGGGAGAGCTCTGGCGCAAGGATACGGACAACTGCTTGAAAGCTGGATCTTTTTATTTTTCAGGAAGACGGAGAACAGCGAGAAGTCTGCGTTCCTGGGCTAGCTAGCTTCTTATGGTAAGTCCCTGGTTTTTTCTACCCTTTTCTCCCTTTGTAATTTGATTTTGTGTGAGTGTTTGTATTTGTGCCTAATGTTTCAAATCCTGTTTGAGTTTGTCTTTATTCCCGCCAGAGGGCAAACTCCGCGGGGTGCGGAAGGCAAACTCCGCGGGGTGGCCAGATTGTATTATTGGTTTTCTGTAATCTCTTTTAGCTTTAAGATAGTTTTTCATATTTGTTCTGTGGCAATCTCCTGTCTGTCCCTTTTGTAATTTATATTTTGTGTCTTTTGTCTGTTTGTTTTGCTTATTTGGTATGTCCTGTGTTTGTAAGGGTTTTCTAAATTATCTTTTGTTTCCTTTTCCTATTTGTCTAGTTTTCTTAATTACTTAGGCTTTTGTCTATAGGGATTCTTTAATACTTTTTATTTGATTCCTTTTCCTATGTAAGTTTGTTTTCTGGCTGACCTGATGTTCCCCTTGGGCTTTTCCTGTTTTTTGTGACACTACTGCCTTCGTGAAATTCCCTTTCCACAGAGTAAATAGAACAGGTTGGTTGATTAAGTTCAACTCCTGCCTGCATGGACCGATTCTTGCCATCCTGATTTATCTACAAAAATAAAAAAACCAAAGAGATTGCTCTAATCCAGTGATGGCTAACCTATGACACGCGTGTCACTCGTGACACGCCGAGGCACTTTGACTGACACGCCTGTTGGTGTGGGGAAAACCTGCACACTTAGAGGCTGCCTGTGCTCTGCTCCAATCCCTGCTCCCTGCTTGTTGCGTGGAGGCGTGGTGTCACCGCTGCCGCGAGATCTTTGCAGCAGAGAACCAGTTTTAACTGCCATAAACTGAGGTTTGTCACTTTAATTACCTCAGGAATGCTATAGGAGGAAAGGAGATCCATGAGGTTCACAGCCCTGTAAGGTGGCCTTCCGATCCCCACATCCTGCACCTGCAGCCCTGAGACCAGGGAGACGAGTTTCACAGCCCTGTGTGATCACCCCAGCCCAGTCCGTCATAAACATCGCAGGAGGACTGCACCACAACAACCAGACACAGTGCTCACGATAAGCAGCATCGGGTGGCTGTCCTGTAAGTGCAATTAATACTAAAATCTGCATTTCTGTCTTTGTGGCTCTCCCTTCTTCTCTCCCACTGTAAAACGCTTGGATGTCTAGTCTGCAGCATTCAGCCCCTCTCCAGCTCCTCTAAGCTTTAATTGCCTCCATAGCACCTCTTGCAGTTCTTGCTTCTCACCATCCTCACAGAGTACCATGCAAACCCTCCAAAAAAAATCTCCAAAACACAAACCAAAAAAAACCCTTATTTTGTACATCATCTTGACTTTAATTTCTTTCTCCTGGCAGGGTTCTTCTTCTGAGGCTGAAGATTTAGCAAATGCAATTCAGCAACAGAAAAGTCACTAAGGTAAATCGTTATTTGTTTTTTGCTTTTTGAACTAATAAATATAATAAATATATTAAAAATATAACTCTTTATTAGGGCTGCAAATATTACCAAATTATTGATATTTCTTGAAGTGACACACGACCCGAGGAAGGCTACACTTTTTCCCGATTTTCGACACACCAAGCTGAAAAGGTTAGCCATCACTGCTATAATCTCTTTGATCCCATCTATCTTCTATCCAGTTGTTTTTCAATTTTTTCTCATCCTTGCAAAACATTTTTTGTAGCCCAGCAGGTTTGTAAATTATAAATTTATGAAAGATCGTATGCAGTCAACCTGCAAAGCTTCAGATTAATTACAACACTAAGGACCAACCAAACTTCTTTGGGTAGAAATGATCTTTCCAACCTACTTCATTCATTTTAGTTCCTTAGTACATATTTGTCTATTCTATCACTGCTTGTTGGGAAACACTTGTAATTGCAGCTACTTAAATTTGGAGTAGCAATTAAATGAGGTAGATATATAAGCAGTAAAAAAACCTTTTATTGTTGTGCAACAAAATCTGGTGGAATAAAATTATCAGTTCCAATAAAGGAGAACATTTGTATCTCAGTGTTGAAACAAAGAGGCCCTTGGTGCTCTCTTCAGTTTGTTGGTTGAAGAAGTTACCTAATTTGGGTAGTAAAATGTCTGCAAGAAAACAAGCAAGCTCAGAGAGAACCAAGGATCCCTCAAATATCAGTTTTGTTCAAAGGCAAGCCAAGTGCTTCCATTACAGTTTGAAATATACATTTAAATGCAGGTATCACTGTATCAGAACCAATTTGGTGTGGTGGCTAAGGGCTCAGGTTAGAAATATAAAGAGCAAGAATTCTAGTTCCACTTTGGGCAAAACCAGCTAAATAACTTTGTGGCCAGTCTCTCTCAGCCATAAAAAGAGGGCAGTGGTAACCCACTTTTGAAAATGTTGCCAAAAAAATGGCAAGGACTTGTCCAGGCAGTTGTGAAGAGTCAAGGTTAACTTAAAGGCAGGTAGATGATATATGAAGTCCTTAAAATTTAGAAGTGACTGCATCTTTGTCGCTATCACGAAGACGTATACATTGTTAAAACAGCATTTTGGAATGTTCCTTGCATAAATGTTCCTGCAAATGTATGTCTGGAACGCTGTATCCAATCTTAATATAAGGGTCTATCAATCTGAGCTTGGTTTCCAGTTTTGAAGTCTTTATGACAATTGACTATGAAAAATAGGATATGTGAGAATAGAAGTATAAAACATGTTGAGGACATTAGGTTAAGGAAACAGACAGACATAGAACACTGATGGCAGAAAAGAGACTCAGTGGTCCATTGAGTCTGCCTTTGAGTTTTTTGTTTTTTTAAATTCATTTAAAAAAAAATTTTGGATGATAGACATGTTTATCTCAAGCATCTTTAAACTCAGTTATTGATGATTGACCTGACTACTATTTCTGTGAAGTAATACTTTCTAACATGACTTTTGAACTTCTGTCAGTTGAGGTTATGCTGTGTTAAATCTTTTGTGTATACTCTCCACAAATTACAGAAATAAAGCCATCAGAGTAGTTTTTTTTAAAAAAATGAAAGAACCTACTCATGTATTCATCCGAAATACACTGTCTTGTTCCCGTGTCATATATGTGGGTATATGTATACTTTGTCATGTTTATGTAGTGTATATTGCAGGTGGTGACCATTTGAGAGCTGTATGCAACAAAGTTTCATTTTAATGTATAGTGTACATTTAAAGTGACAGTAAAGTTATTCTAAGTATAAGACTAATGTAATCCTGTACAGCAGGGGTGCCAAACCGAATGTGACCCACGGGGTGCTTAATTCTGGCCTACGGGGTAGCCATGGAAACGGTAAAGGACCGGCCTGCAGTGCCTCTGCTAGCAAAAATGGAGCTCGGGAGGGCCACACGTGGCCCTCCCAGGCCCCATTTTCAGCCTGGATGGCGTCCTGAAGCCCTCTGCCAGCAAAAACAGAGCCGGGGGTCGTGTGTGTACTCTGTTTTTGTTGTTAGAGGGCTTCAGGAGGCTGTCCAGGCCAAAACTGTGGCCCAGGGGGCTGCACAGAGCCCCCCGGGCTTAGTTTTTGCTGGCAGAGGGCTAGCAAAACAAAAGGAGAAATGTTTCCCCTTTTGCATTTGAGCATCCAAGAAGGGACAGGAAAGGAGAAAGGGAAAGAGGAAAGTCAAAGAAAAAGGAAAGAGGGAAAGAGAACAAGGAAAAAGAAGGAAAAAGGGGAAGCAAGAAGAATGAAGAGGGAAGGAAAAAGAATAAAACTCTCAATACTACCTCATTACTTTAATAATTACTTTAATAACTTCATTACTTTAATAATCAAACACTGATTACTTTATTACCTCAAAACTTATAACTTTTCTACCTCATTACCTATATCAATGATTATATAATCAATTTCTATAAAATAATTTATCAATGGTTTAATTGATTTTTGTTTTAATTGATTAGTGTGATTAGAGTGTTTAGTGCAAATAGTGATTACTGACTAATGTAAAAATCAGGATACATGTAATTTAATTGATTCATAAAATTAGTGATTTACTGAATTTAATTGAACAGTGTGATTAGCGATTAGTGTAATTAATTGATTAGGCTGATTGTTGCTTAGCATAATTATTTGACTAGAGAGATTATTTTCACTGATTAATTGGTGTGATATTGGCTATATTGATTACCCAAAATTGTTTCATTAAGCAATTTAACGTACTATCTCAACAAACCTACCATGCCAGTAAAAAAAATCCTATGCCAAACCACAACCTAAAGAGAAAGAAATCCCCACCAATGAACCACAAGACTCCTTCACATGCCTTATATGCTATGAAACTCTAAAGGATAATGAAAACTCCACCAAATGTTCTCTATGTGACAGCTACGCCCATCATGGCTGCCTGGGTTTACCCAAGCAAATGATTCAATTCCTAGAATCATCCAACCATGCATTTCAATATTTCTGCCCATCATGCAAACCCAAACTGGACAATCATATAGCCCTGTTTGAAAGAGTTGATACCATAGAAACATGAATAACATCCCTTGACACCATAGTAGCATCCCTGGACACTTTAAAAGAAAGATTAACTAACCTTGAAAAAAAAGACACAACACAAAAACCCAAACATTCAATAGCTACAAACCACACCTCTACCCAACAACCGCAACCCAATCCACAAAAAACCATAAATCCAACAAATAATGATATCCCAATCCTCGTCAGAGAAGCTGTTGAGCGCGAACAGAAGCGTACAAACGTCATCTTATTTGATCTAGAGGACATCAATAACAATGATGACATCACAATTGTCCGCAACATCATCAGTGACTATCAAGTATCAACCATCTCCCCTGATGAAACACTTGACATTTCCTGCATCAGCCCAGAGTTCAAAAACAGAGATGGCTCTGTGGCCCCATGCCTCTGCAGGGTCACTTGCAAAAATGAATCAAGCAAACGCAAATTCATTTATACAATAAATTCACTTGCCAAAAGCAACACCAACCATAAGAACCTCCGTTCTCGCCCTGACCTAACCGTACAGCAACGTGTCCGCTCCCGTGAACGCCGCACAGAACTCAAAAAACATCTAGACAATGGAGAGAAGGACCTGTGCATTGACTACCATGCTGACTGTATCAAAAGGAAGTCACACAACCCACAACTCAGCATCCAACCCTACTTCAACCAATCCACCATCACCCAAGACTAGGCACACACCCTAACTACCTCAATTCAAACTACAACTGGCCTTAAATGCAAGCTACTCAGTGCAAGAAGCCTTGTCAATAAAATACCTGAATTTTTCCTCTTACTAAATACGGCTAAATTCGACATCATATTTGTCTGTGAAACATGGCTCAACGCATCTCTCCCTGACTCCATTACCTCAGTAAGAGACTATCATGTTTACCGATCAGATCGTGAAATCCGTAGAGGAGGTGGTATTGCTATCTTCTAGAAAAAGTCCTTACATCTAAAAAACATCCAAGTTACCCAGAGTTTGCTCTTCCTGAGACCATCATCTGTGAACTGTCCTTAAATATCACATTTCGATTCTTACTATGTTACAGAGCCCCTGTATGTTGCAGCCTCAGAGGCAATCCCCTCATTTTCCAGAGGGAATTTTGCCCCCTGCAGAGAGTATCCCTCCAGGGTGGGGATTTTATCCAGGCCAGGGGTGGATTCAATGCCAATGGCAGCCAGCACCAACACAGCCCTGGTCTGAAGGGGGGTTGCCCAGACAGCAGACAGCAGCCAATTCCCCTCCATCCGAACAGGGAACCAGGCCACACCCATCTTCCTCCTGGCAACCACAATTGCAGCCCCAACTGGAAGCGAGGTCACAGGGACCCCTATTCCAGAGAGGCACCACCCAGCCAGGATTCAGGGGGCCTACCCAGCCTACGTACACCACCCGGCCTGTTCCTTCCATTCCAGTACAACCTGCAGGAGCCTGGCATGTGCCACCTCCGCAACCACAACCCAGGCCAGACCAAATACCGTTTGAGGCTGTATTTGATGGCCACCACGAACATTTCAATTACTTCCTCACTCGAATCCGATCCCATATAGAACAATTTGGAGATCAATACACCACAGAGCACGATTTGGTTACGGCCATAACAAATGGGATGAATGAAGGGGATGCTTCAGACTGGGTGGCCCAACTACCCAATGAACAAGCCCCCGAATTATACGATGTAAACGGATTTATTCAATTATTAAGAGTCAGATTTGAAAATCCAGACAGGGTAGCAGAGAATGAAGAGAAGTTAATGGAAATGAGGCAAGGCAAGTGACCTTGGTCAGAATTTATTTGGGACTTTAGAAGGGTCACAAGCCACCTCATGGATTGGCCTGAAAGAATGACTTTACACTATTTTAAAAAAGCCATTGATCCAGAAGTAAAAAAGGCCTGTGAAATTAGGGGAATCCCAGAGACCTTACAATCGTGGTATGCCGCCTCCCTCAGCTTAGATCGCAGCATCAACCCACACAGGAAACCCCTTCCGGCAGCCCCGACTAAGAGAATTTTGGCAAGGAGACCGCCGACCAGACCAGCCAAACCTGCTCGTACCCGACCCACCAGGGTGCTGAAATGTTACTGATGTGGCCAAGCCGGTCATAGAGCAGCAGACTGTCTGGCCCCTGCTCCTGTACCACAAGCTCCGCAGTCGAAGTCTAATCCAGCTGTTAGAGGTCAGAAGAATCAAGGAAGACCTCTGGCCAGGGACGGGTTTGCCAAACACAGCTGGGAAAACCCCCTCTAGGCAGATGGGAGCAACGGACCACCAGACCAACACCACGTCCCTGAGAACCCAACCTGCGAAGACGACCCAATGATGAGTGTTCCCATCATACCTTTTACAGTCAAGGTCAAGTTAGTGGTACCAAACATGGGGGAGGCCGGGGAGTTAGAAGCTGTCATTGATACTGGGTGTTCTAGATGTCTTATCGGACTCCCCATCGTTGAACAATTGGGCATAAAGACTATCCCACTAAAATGCCCAATCAGATTTGAGCAAGTGGATGGAACCTTAATGGGGGGGGGGGGGGGGGCAGCCACTCAATTGACAGAATTAATCAAGAAGGAATTAGGGCCCCATCGCGAACTCATACGCTTCATAGTGGCCCCCAAGATGTCAGAATCAATCATACTGGGACTTGCTTGGCTAGACAAATGGGCCCCGACGATCAAATGGGAGGATGGATTCAGAAAAATCCTCATTGGACCAGGCCCATTGCCCCCTCTTCCACCCACTACAAAGCCACCGGTCAGCTTGAACCCAGAGCCTGAGCCAGCATCCATGGCATCCCACCTTCTCCCAGATAACCCCCAGGTACCCAACCAATACAAAGACTTGGCTGAAGCATTCAGTGAAGAAGAGTGTAATGTCTTACCTCCCCGTCGAGCCACTGATTGCGCCATAGAATTAGAGCCCAGGGCGAAATTACCAAAACCAAAGATGTATTCCATGACACCTGCTGAAATGACTGTATTAAGGAAATACATGGACCAAAATTTGGACCGAGTTTTTATTGAACCTGCCAAATCAAGATTAGCTGCCTCCATGTTGTTCAAAGAGAAGGATGGCGGGTTGAGATTATGTGACGACTTTAGGGGCGTAAACGCCGTATGCGTCAAAAACATGTACCCTCTCCCCCTTATGAAGGACTTATTGAACCACCTGTCGAAAGGCAAGGTATTCACCAAGCTAGATCTCAGGGAAGCTTACTACCGGGTCCACATCAAAGAGAGAGACGAGTGGAAAACAGCTTTTAACTGCCCTTTGGGTAGCTTCCAATTGAAAGTCATGCCTTTCAGACTTCAGGGGGCTCCCGCAGTGTTTATGCAACTCATCAATGAGGTGCTACACCTGCACCTTTATCAGGGGGTCCTTGTACACCTGAATGACATCCTTATCTTCAGCAAAACCATGGAAGAACATTTTTCAATTGGTCCGACAAGTCCTAGAAAAACTTCTAGCCATCAAATTATAAGTGAAACTCTCAAAATGTGAATTCCACAAAGAGTCGCTGGTTTATTTAGTCTACTGAATATCCAACCTGGGAATTGAAATGGACCCCGGAAAGGTGAAAGCGGTGCTGGACTGGCAACCCCCCAGAACCCGAAAACAACTTCAAAGTTTCTTGGGGTTTGCCAACTTCTATAGACAATTCATTCCATCCTTTGCTGAAGTTGCCCTCCCATTGACAGAGCTATTAAAAACGGGCCCGTCACCCACCAAACCAAAGCCAAGTCAACCCCTGGCTTGGACCATGGACTGTCAGAAAGCTTTCGAGACCTTAAAATGCCTGTTCGCAGCTGAGCCCATCCTCCAGCACCCAGACACGACCAAACCTTTTATTATCCAAACTGATGCGAGTGATGTAGCGGTGGCAGCCATTCTGCTGCAAAAAGACTCTCAAAACCAACTGATGCCTTGTGCATATGTGTTCAAATAGCTGATGGACACAGAGCGAAGATGGGTGGTCTGGGAGAAAGAAGCACTGGCCGTACGATGGGCTTTATTGACTTGGAGGCATTTCCTAGAAGGGAGCCCTTTGAGGTATGGACTGATCACAAAAACCTTGAGGCTCTAAAGATCCCTAGGAGATTATCACCCAAACAAGTCCGCTGGGCCCAATACTTCAATCAGTTCAACTTCAACATTAAATATATCCCCGGAGGGAAAAACGTATTGGCGGACGCCCTGTCCAGAAAACCTTAGTTTGACAGCCACCGAGAGGAAATAGTATAAGCTTTAATTTCAGAAGCTCAATCGGCAGGCCAAGTGACCACTCGAGCTCAAGCCAACCGCTACCCCAAACACCTTGAAGATAAGCTGACCGTGGAATTGAAAACGGCTCTATTGACCGATCCTTGGTTCCTGGACCATCAAATGGAGTTGACAATGAATGATGGACTAGCTTGGAAAGGAACTAAGCTTTATGTACCCACAACCCTAAAACTACTGGTACTAAAGCGTAGCCACGACTCACAGCTGGGAGGGCACTTTGGATTCTTAAAAATCCTAAATTTACTGAGAAGACAGTTCTGGTGGCCAAAAATGAAACCTGATGTCGAGGACTATGTAAAAAGTTGCTCAATTTGTGCCACAATGAAACACAGAACTGGAAAAACCCCTGGCCTCCTGCAACAAGTTGCTGAACCAACCCAACCTTGGGAAGAGATCGCAATGGACTTTATTGTTGAATTACCTAAGAGTGAAGGAAATACAATCATTTGGACTATAATTGACTTATTCTCTAAACAGGCCCATTTTATAGCCTGCAAAGGACTTCCATCTGCGAAAAAACTTGCAAAGCTGTTCGTGAAACATATCTATAGACTACATGGAGTACCTCGTAGAATAATATCAGACAGAGGGGTACAATTTACCGCAAAATTTTGGAGGGAATTTCTGAAATCCATTGGTTCCTCTCAAGGATTATCCTCAGCTTTCCATCCTGCTTGTAACGGAGCAGCGGAGAGGGCTAACGCCATGATTGAACAATACATTAGATGCTATGTAAATTATCAAGAAGAAAATTGGGCTGAGTTATTACCTTTTGCAGAGGTTGCTTACAATAATGCAGTACATAGCAGCACGGGATTGACTCCATTCCAAATCAACACTGGAATGGATTTTGACCTGATGCCAGAGTTACCTAGACAACCTCCCACATCCATGTCCCTAACAGAATGGATGAACTCATTAAAGAAAGGTTGGGAAGATACAAAAAAAGCTTTGACCGAAGCTGCGAAAAATTATAAAAAACAGGTGGATAAACATAGATCCCTTCAACCGCCCTTTAAAGTGGGAGACAAAGCACATTTGTCAACCAAGTATCTTAGGTTGAAACTGCCCAGTAGGAAACTGGGGCCAAAATTCTTGGGTCCGTTCCCAATTTCAAAAATAATCAATCCGGTCACTGTCCAATTAAGTCTTCCTCGACTATTAGGGAAGATTCATCAGGTGTTCCATTGTAGTTTACTAAAACCAGCTGCTACATCAATGATAAGACCAGTGCCAATCGCTCCCCCTGCCCTGTTTACGGTACAGGGGGAAACACATTATGAAA